CTCATGCGTGCATAATTGACTGTTTGGTTAAGGTTTTGCCTTAACTTTGCAATCACTCTTCGCGTTTAATTACAACATGATTATGCAGCTATAAGATGCATGACTTCAGTGTATCTCCGCCAGATAGATGACCTCCGGATCGTGTCAGTGGCCTCGTGGCCTAATCTAAATATAGAATACGCATTCTTCAAGAGTGCCGTGACTTTGCCATCTTCGGAGAAATCTCAGGTCGCCACACAATCTTCTAAACACTTATAATTCAGACTTCTTTTTGTTCGAGCTTTACTTCCTCATTCAGCGACCGTACCGAATGATTGGTAAAAACTCACTTGTGGTGAGTTTAATTATGATCTAAAGTATCATTGAAGAGAAGGTGTCTCTTCCCGACTGAATGCGAAAAATTGGATTTAATACCATGTTCCGATAAATTCTTGTGAATGGAACAGGCTTCAACTTAAAATAGCTCTTTTCTCACTGAACATTGCTACACATTTTGATGGATGGAAGGCCATGGATTTGAGTTGTAAAGATGGGGACATGATAGAAGTTTAAACTCTCTGAGCTATGCATGGTCCCACTTTGACGAACGGCTGGGGTCCTGATGACGAAGGGTTCTCACGCCTCTTCCGCAACCAGATCTAAAATGCATCAAGTTATTTTGAAATATGAAGGAAGTAGTGACTCGGTCGGCAACACATGCATTACCGAAAGTCCCAAAAAGACAGGCTACGTTATCACACAAAGGTGTTCATGTCAGAATGTAACTTTATTCAACACCTCTCTGAGCATAATGTGTCTTTTTAAGTTTTTGATTTGCAACAAGTTAAAATAACAATAAGCATGTCAGTTGACAAGTGGAATATGTCAGTGTCTGCTCACCCGAAATTGTTTGTCACGCTCTACCATTTCTCTTCTGCGTTTATTGGCCTACAAAATAATGAGATGTAGTGCCACCAGCGAAAGATGTCAATGTCATCTGCAAAGAATTCGGATGGACAAATGAGCAACCTCGGCCTGACGATGAGGAGACATTCGCTGAATCACGGAATGTCACACTGGAAAGGAACTTTAAATGCTAATTGCCATCAAACTTTGACTTAAAAATAGGCTTACTGAAATGCAGTAATTATAAATTATTATCTGAGTAGGACAATAAAAGCAGGAACAGTCTTTAAAAGGAGGCAAAGCTTCCACTTTCAGAGAGTAAATTAGGGTCTAGTTCAAGCCAAAGCTCACCAGGAGTTGAGTCAATTAAAACCGTAAGGGAATTTTTGTTGGCATCAAAGTTCACTCTCACCAAACAGGCAATTTTGTAAAAAGTGACTTCCATAGGGAGCTTTTGCGAAATGGTTAACTAGCCAATATGCGTTTGTTAAAACGTCTTTGTTGCAGAACTTACCCCAAAGTAGAATGAGAAAATAAAAACGAGATGGCAGGCGAAGTAGAAAATGCAGAAAATAATAAAAACATCGCGTTCAACTCTGTTGAGGAGAGCCGTTCTTTCGTCCTTTAATTTCTTTAGCTCGATCCTGCGCTTTTTCAGAAAAGCCTGGCGCTCCCACAAGCGACGTTTAAGAGTCAAGTCGATTGCCCTCTGAAGTACGGCAAGGTCTAAGACAAATTTTCAAGGTTAACTTATGCTATAAAAACTATGAAAGCCTAAACAATCGTGGGTAAACTATTTCATTAATGTGAGCGTACGAGATGCTAATTCCACTTTGCGCAAAACTAGGTTTTTTGTCTTTGTTGGTGCTTAAGCATCAGACCTTTCATCGCAAAGTTAAACTACCATAGAATTCGCCAATGTCGTTTTGGCTTTCCACTGAACGATTTTTAGGCATATTAATGAGCTGTGGATCACTGCCCAGCCCTGCCAACTGCGCATTTGCTGATGTCAATGTCCAAGCCACAGTAGAGAATAATGTGCAAAGGACGAACCCCGCTCCACATCGTCCATCCCGGGGTCGTAAATGTCAGTTCGCAGAGCCTCTGTAAACGATTCGTTCATCCATGGAGGAATCATATTTCGAGGAAGAAGAATCTACAATGCAAGCAAACCAAGTGATACAAGTGTTCTTCCCCTCTTTCCTGTGAACACCTGGAAGTTTACTTGTTGTGCTTATAGCTACGTAGCGTGAACGCATCTTATAACCACCTTTGCATTCATTGCATAAAACGAGCAGTTTGGATACTGATGCACCTTCAAAATCGAAGGTGAAATAGGACAAGATTAACAGACGTGTCCACGACACCTTATCAACACATAGTTTAGAGGATTGCTGATTATGTGACATACGCATGACCTTGTTGTATTTGAGCTTTGTACTTCAAAATAGGGGGAGGGGGGTTGCGTAGCATCGAACTGCTTCATCCATGGCAGTGCTACAAAAGTAGAAGATTTTTGAATAAGTTTCTTTCGAACCTCTTGTTAATTATTGGAACTTTTTCTATATTTAGCTGATTGGCTCTATTTTTGGAGCAAAGTCACTGAAACACTGTGCTGCCCAGGCAGAAGGAAGAAGAGTTTTCTCCTGTAATAAACCATTTCATAATTCTATTACTGGTGCTTCACTGTGTTTGCATCTTTAAAATGAAGCAGTCATGTTCACATAAACATGGATTGGTTGGGTTTTTGAAATTTACTGCTTACGAACGAAGTATGAGTCATGAATTTCAACCAAAATCCGATTACACAGTCAATACCGTTCATTAGACAGGGTTCGCATGACAGCACAAGTATGAGAACAGCAGAATTTTATGATGGAGTTACAACGCTGGGGGACTCACAGGAAGATTGTTGCGAGAGTGAAGAGAAGCGTTGATCAAGGGCAGCTGTCCAAAGAGGTCAAAAAGTTGCGCGTTGAGCTGTGCAGAACTACCAGCGGCAGTGAAGTCAGTGATTGTGGAGAGTGATGAGCAGTGAAAGAGGGAAGAGATGTTCCAGGCCATTCCAGTGGTGTTAGGCAAGCTGGGATCTGGCATGGAGTACACCGGTACCAGAGTCACAATAGCATGCCACACACTGACTTTGCAAAGAATGCCCAACGACATCAATACGTATTTATCCTAAAATGGAGAAGGTAGTATGCGTAGGACTACATCGAGTGTAGTATGAAATAATCGCAAGTGGTTTCTAAGTTGTAAGCATAGTAATGACTCGTTTGTTGTCCGAAAAGTGGTTTACAGCATTCGTTCTGCGGCATCAAGGTATGTTTGGTAAATATTCTCGTCAATTAAGGTATTTCGGAGCGTTTTTATAATTTCTGTTGCTGCTGTCTGTTCCTAAATAAAACTCGGTTGACGTCGTCATTACCTGAACCGTTTATTTTATAGCATTCTGTTTGTTCTAAAGAACTAACTGGGAGTTATTATTATCAATTCCATTTGATCGCATGAAAAAGCGCGCTTTTGGAATTTTAAAAGTAGTTTATCAGTGAGAATTATAAAGCATCTTGTTATCCTGAGCTGCATCAATCTAAACATCGGACTACACATAAAGATGTTTTCAACCTGAAGAAGTTGCCAGTTCGGTGAAAGTGCACGGCTTCTGGCACTAAGGTTAGGGAAACAGTGTATAAAACCCTTACCAGTAGAAGTCAATATCAATTGCATACAAAAATTCCCTTTCGATGATGATATAGACTGACCATGAAAGTGAGATAGGAAATCTTTGGAAGGGACTGATTAATGACGAATTTGAACGCCACTGAGGTGAGAAAAAGAGTGAAGGAAAGTTGAAGCCGATTTTCTGGCCGTTCGGCAGACACTGAAAACGTGGCAAAGGAGAGACCTGTGATGAAAAACTGGAAGGAAGAAAGTTCACTGACTTAGAGTCCCTAATAGGAGCAAGAAAAATAACTAAAACGTGTTCACTTCGTAAAGTAGCCTTTTAACGAATGCGCTGGAGATAAGTTGATCTGAATTTATCTTAAGAGATTCAGTTTTGATTGCGCTAGAATTATCAGACTGATGACGCCTCGGTTAGGAAATCGAAAAGCCCATGGGTGATAGAATTGAGGAGGAGGAGGAGGAGGGGAGAGGTCAGCGAAACTTGCCATGATAAGGAACACGTTCCAGTAGAAGTAGCCGGGTCGACGGGCTGCACGGCATGTCACGGAAATGCAGGGATGCTTCTGTGAAGAGGTTGTAAACTCCTGTACAATTGACTGCCTTGTTATTTCAATGTGCTCATGAAGGCGCCATTCCTACAAGTAAAGCAGTACCAAGATACCCTTCTACTACACCATAAAGTTGACAATTACTACGCAGAATCGCTTCCACTTTTGTATGTGCAACCAAATAAAGCATTGCAAGTACGATCACACGATATCAATGCAATACAAATCAAAATGCAGTTACAAACACAAAATTATTTCTTTACCCTGTTAAGCAATGAATTTTGTCCTGGTAAAAAGAACACGAACTGGGTGTAGCAAACTCAAAGTCACTTTCCCCATTATTAGTTGGTTTTGTTCAACGTTATTTATTTTTAATTCTCCCAGGTCCAAAATATCTTTAGCAAAAGTTTTACTTGCCTTGTCTTACCTTTAAGTAAACGACTGCCATTGTCCCTCGATCATCCTTGGGGAGGGACAGCAAACAAGGATGCTAACGAGCTTTTTCCCTTAAAGATGTGAATCCCTCACGCTGTCCATTGCTTGTGAGGAGAAAGCTGTTTGAAGATCACTGGGTGGAAGTTATGAGCAATTTATTTCACGAGAGCAGACCAAGTTGGAATCGGAAGCAGTCCAAGTTAAGTGGGTGCGCATACTCACACCAAAACCAGTTGGAAGCCGCCTTTCATCAGCACTTCCCACGCACTTTATCAACTCAAAACCTTCCCGGTTCATTTTTGTAGCGCTAGTAATAAAATCCGCCAACATTTTATCAGAGCATAGCAAAAGTGTGAAATTTTGCTTGCAATGTATAACGGTGCCTGTGGACAGGTCACGCTTTTCTGCTGCTCCAGATCCTTTCCTATGATCCAATTGGTTCAGCTTGCCTGAGTTCACTCCATGAAACAGATGAATGGTACTACTGGTAAGATGGCGTTGCAATGGCCCCGGGCTTTAAATAGGGCACACGATGGGTCTGTGATAAGGCTTCGGTTAGCTCATGCCTCAGGAAAGTATTTATTCCTACAGACCCACTTAACCACCATCGCCGTAAAGGCCCTAATTAGGATGCAAGACAGCACAATTTGGGTAGAAAAGATGTCGTTTTTTTCATGACAATTAGAATCTAAAGTGCTTCAAAGATTGATGCCCCTTCTGCCCATTTTTAAACATTTTAGTGCTCCCTAGGCACTGGGTGTTTGAGTCTTTGACAAACAAATGGTCGATGACAAATAATGCGTCGAGCTGCAGTAACAAAAAAATATACCACTCTCCAAATGGAGACAAAGGGTTCATCAGACTTGGATGCATGCAACTGATTGAAATTAAGAAATCATAGACCAGGTGATTTTGTGCCGTGACTGGGCCACCGCCTTGATATTTTGTCGTACTTTCATCACCACGATACGTACCAGTTTATGAAATCCCGCTCACGGCTGGCGGTTTTACGAAGTGAAAATGGATGACATGTGTCATTGGTGGATGTGTTGATGGCAGAAATGCATACAGTCTATTCGGTGGTGCATTAACTCAAATCTGACCTTCTCCTTTTTTGACCCTCCCTATTAGAGTGTGTTTAGGCTGTTCGCCTTGGAGACTGAGTCCTACTGAATGGATTGGCGACTCTAGCACTTGCACTCAAGTTGGAAGATGGAATTCGGTTCAGTGGGACATTTGAGCTAGTTGACGTGCTCCCGCTTCAAAAATGTACATGCGATGTCGACAAACCTGTTGATCAACGAAGGTCTGCAAATTGATTCCGCACAGATCCGTGCTGTCGGGGATCAAATCCACTTCTGTATCTGGTCGTTCAGACGATAATGTTATGGTCAAATCCTGAAAGAAGGAGAGTTAGAAGTTGTCAAATTTTAGGGACTGACCCTCTATCGTAGATTTCAGTTACTTTTGTTAAAGGCAATACGACTTAAAAAAATGGATTTCTAGCTAGACCCAACCTCGTAAGTATCCCTAAACACTAGAATGTTTTTGGCTGTTAAAAGTGTGTATTACTTTACTTATTTACTGAACTCAATCAAGGTCCTGAGACCCACAATCTCAGTGGAGTGGGGCGGCAAGACAAACTCGAACCTCGTTAACATCAACCACAAAGACAGGCGGAAAAACGGTGAAAGGGACAACTTAATGCTCAGTACGTCTTTAATGGTGCCTTGCAGGCGGAAAATTAACTTGAACCTCGTGCTGGAGCCGCTTCAAATAAAACTCGACATCGTTAAGACTGCTGAATGGCACGGTGCCCGAGCTGGGCTAGTAGGTGCTAGCCCGGCGCACTTTCCACCTTGGGAGGATTTGATTGTTAAAATGTTTTAGTCACCACCACGGCACTGCAAAAAGAGATCACTGCAAAGCACAACCAATGCTGTGCTTAAAGGCATGTTGTTCAAAAAGAAAATAAAATTATCTTTACTTCAAGAACATTTTAAGCCCATTTTACTGTTCTAAACTTGGGCAATTAGGCATACGGTCGACAGTTCGTGCTCCTCTTGTGCCATGCTAATAGGAAGCGATCCTGAATACGTCTCCAACTAAGATGGCTACCATAGACGAGAAATAATACGTGATAGCAACCTTTTCTTTTGGTTTCATCAAGACAAAAACATTTAATCTACCCAAAGCCGAGTTTAATAGGGTTCTGGTGGTCCTAAAAAGGCCATTTTGAAAATAAGTTGGTTTGAGGTATTGTATCAGCTAAATAAAATCCTCACAAAGTGAAGCAATCACTGTTCTTGGTGGATGTCTGAACAGTGTCTCTAAAAGTGGTTGAATTATTCAGCAGAAATGCGATTTTATGTCTTTGCTAACTTAATAGTGCTTAAGTTACTGCTTTGGGTATGGGAATAAGTGAGGAAATCAGCGATGCATTGCTGTATGTGAACTCGATCTGATAAGCGTTGGTCTTGGGGTCAATGAAAAGTAGCCACTGCCGTTGTGCGACCTCTCTGCACGCAGGAGATGTTCATCTGACTTTCCTGCAACCAATGTCCAAAGCCAATGCCACCGGCTGCCAATGTGCCAAATGCATTAAGAATGGATCATTTGGGATTTGGCATTTGCACAAATCCAAATTCCGGAGATGGGGAGACGCAGGAGGCCACAAATCTTAAAACCATAATGCATTTTTTTCTGAATTCACCAAACCATAAAGATACTTTCTTTGCCATTCCTTATTTATCATGCAATTGGCAGATCAAAGCAATGTAATGGAAATGTGATCTGGGAAGAAACAGAGCGGACTCCGTTTCGAAGACAAGTTTTGTTATTTATGAAAACAAAATAACGACTTTGACTATGGTGGGTTCTAAAGTATCCTTTTCTCCCCTCTAGCAAGTGGAGGGGTTGAGGGACTAAAGTAACCGAAACACTATTTTGCTATTAAAATAATGCTACAGACGTGAGCCCCTACTATCGCATGCGTGACAGGCAATCTGCATGAAAACGTAGGGGTTACCTGTACATCCAGCGGGAAATCATTGAGTTCAAGAGTCTCTAGAAAGATGGCTCGCAGACGTCGCCTTTCGGTGACGAAGACCTGCCCGTTGTCATCCATCTTCGCCGATATCCAGTGCTGGTCTTTCGACTCGGTGAGAATGTTCTCAATGTACACCAGTGGGTTCCAGCACTTGGAGAGGTCTATCTTTGCCAGTTCCTGAATAAATTAGGCATATCAAAAAGAAGTATCACTAGAAAGGTGAGCAGTAAGCCTCTTTAAATTCACAAATTGGCTTAGTACGTAACCATTCGCGAAGGCTATTTTTAACCCTATGCTAACAATTCATCCTTTCACTGCCAATTTCCAAGAACGAGGTCCAAATGGAATGATAGGTCAGTCTTCAAGGACAGCTTCATTCAGGCGCAAAAATACCATTCTAAATATAGGGCGAATGGACATTGATAGTGACATGCTTACTGTGGAGACAACGCGCACACAAAAAAAACAGGCTGGAAAGCGGTTTGCATCGAGTTTCGTGAGGTAAAATAAGATCTGCGGAAGAAAGCGGCCTACGCAAATGTGGATGGAGACGAATTGTCTGCTGTACCTAGGATTGACATTCTCTCCACTTCTAGGTGTAACTTCATTCACCAAAACCATCTGAAACTTACAAAACCGTATTTACCTATTAAAATCTAATCTAACGCCCACAATTTACCACAATGTTAACAGCTTCCATAAAGTCATGAAGCATAACTACCCAGCCATGAGGACGAGGTACTTCTGCTCCACCTTAGCATTAACGGGTCTCGCTATTTATGAGCAGAATGATTAAAACTCCAAAAATAATGAGTATCGCCAATCTGATAGCTGCGAATTCAGCACAATCGCATTATTAAGTGCTTATTGTCATTTCCAAGTACATACGGAATGCCGACGGCAAAGTAATACTTTAGAAACGACCTTAAGCCACTTTTTGAATTAGAGCAGACCTCGTCGGTTTTTCCATTAAGTCGAGGCTCGGGCCACTTCGTTTGAATGAAGGCGTCAGCACGAAACATTTCCTTCAGTGTGTCTATTTCACCGATCTTCAGAAACACCACACGCACCTCTACCGTCACCTAAAAACGGGAAATTAAATTAAAAAGCTGTCTACGGGAAAGAAAATTATGGAAAGCTGAAGCAGGCTACTTTGATACAACCAAACGCAAAAGACAGAACGTCAACAGAAACACGTGTTCGAATCGGGATTTCCCCACTTTAATTCTTCAGAATTCAACTGGGTCTAATGCGAAGATCCATTTTAAATTTTAGGTGAACCAGTTCTAAACGCAGCATCCAATTTCCTACTTTTTCTTCGACGGAAGGATGGAGATTCTTGCTCTGGAGCACATTGTCTGTAAAGGCACTGAAAATGCTAGTGTCGTTTAAGCGCTGAAGGGATCAAGTGATCGCATCACTTAGTTGTGCTGAGCCTTTTCAGGTAGACGTTCACTCCATGTCATGATAGTTTGGGAAGAATATTTCGGATAAAGGTGTGCCTAAATGCTCCTGTACTTTGGTTTTCAATTCAATTAATGTCTGCTCATTACAAAGGTTAATAAGAAGGTAGTTGTAATTGTAACATTGCTGGGATGAGGTTTATGGTAGAATAGACCAAAAGTGTTAGCTCACGCCCCTTGGGTAGTGACAACTGGCACGCCTAAAAAGCAATGAGATATGTCGCTCCGAGTTGAGCAATAGTACCTGATGGCTTTATTTTCTGGGACTGAATATTTAGTTTGGTAGAATCAACCGTGTTGCACACCCTATTATAGGTAAGACTCAACCAACTTTTCCGTCTGAATCTGACGCTGAGTTTAAGAATTACGTTAAAGTAATACATAATTCCAAAATAAAGACCTGTAAATCTCATCCCGAATGCCGTACCAACATCATTCACAATTTGCAGACTTCAGCTTTTCGAACATCTATCCGAATTCTACCATTTATTCCACTAATAAGTCTGTTCCTAACTTACCTTTTCTGACTTTTTTGACATCCTTTCATTTGTTCGAAGAACACTAGGATGTGGGAGATCCTTACATGCTGGTGCCGCATGAACTTGGTATGGCTGATGGCTTAATGTGTTTCTCCGGTGCTTTGGTTGATCGGCCACACGTGGTTCCTGCTGCACACCGGGTGGAGTTCGGAGCTGGAGTGTTAATGATTCCTTATGTCCAATCCTTCGCCTGTTATGATTGTCAATTAACAGTCGCAGGCTATCCAATGTCTGTGACAACCGCTCTGTTTCCCTCTCCTGCTGGTCACTGATCTCCAATGCACCATCCACTTCTTTCAAGTCAGTGTAATCCTGGGATCCAGCATTTTCAAAAATGGCCTCCGAACTGCTAAACGTGGAAACCTGCGTGTGAGTAGCCGACTGGCTCTTGGGAAGGAGATTTTGTAGAAAAAGCTTGTTAAAGTTAATGGCCATGCTCGATGCGCCTAGCAGCGCAGCTATTCTGCACTTGAGTTGTGGCAGTAGCGCTGATCGCTTACGCGTATGCGCTCGTGTACGCACGCCCTATGATGGCGGCTCGCTCGCACGTGCGCACACATGAATCCAAGACGTAGGCTCGCGCCTGTTTGTCCCACTACACTACTGCCGTTTGGGCCGCTCACTGCTACAACTCTCGGCAGAGTTTAGGGAGGCTGGACAATCAATAGAACCCGAAACGTTACCTTTCTGATTGTATAGCAGACATTTAGTCCCCCGTTTCTAGAAAAGAACAGAATATTACCTTACATTAAAAGTGATTTTAGCAATGTCAAATATTAATGAAAGATATTTTCAGGAAATAATGGTACACGCCATAAGCTGCTTAGTTTAAATATACGCATTATAACTTTCAACTCACAATTTGTAACAAGAAATGTGATTCATAAAAGTTAAGTTCGCGAAGCAAAATATGTATTATTGTGAATAAGTTAAGCACAATCCCAAGAAAGTGGGTAATACTGTAGATACTCGTCTAGTTTGTTGTCAGAGAGCAAGTACTAGGTTTCAAAAATGCGCTTCGCTGTTTTAGATGGAAGATTACTATCCATTGTGGCTATCTAGCCACCACAGAAATCAACAAACCGTTTTAAATTTTGACTTAAATTTCTTAACAAAATTTAAATTTTTTAAAAGCCTACAATAAAAAAATTAATTATACTATAATTCTAAACGGATTCAGAAAAAAGAATCAAGGTAGAGGTATTTCTTTGTTTGGCTCAGTAATTATAAACGTGGGTTATTTAAACGCAATTGCGATGTCCTTGATAACAATAGATAGGACACTTGTATCGCAGGAGCAGGTTCTCTCATTCGTTACTTGTGACCTAATTGCCTATAGAGTCCTGAGTCCGTTTTCACTATTGACGAGGACTCGGAAAACGCTGTGGAAACCGGATCCAGAAGCAGGTAAGACCTTAGGGACTCTTCGTTGAAGTGTTTAACTACGTTTAAGGCAAGTGTTTTACGAAGACCCATTTTATTTCAGTCACAGCGAGGACTTTGTTCTGCGTAAGACCAGCGCAATAACATTGAGCGTTAAATCTCAAAGACGAACCAGTGTTGTTCGAGATCATGGTTAGACGCCACTTTTATCGCTATAAGTTTCTTAGACAACTTACATGAGCATTTGAAACGCATCTTGCAAATTCTGCGCTTTAGTGATTACGTCAAATTGGTAGTTTTTCCTTG